AGGTAGAAAATTCTTGGTTGAAATTTGATTTTTTGGAAACATTTTAACATTTATTTCTTTCCAAATAAAGGTTAAAATCAAAACAAAGCAAGAAATACCCCAAATAAATATACATGGAAATTATAAGCTTGATTAGATTTTTTCCTAGGTAAAAAAGTGCTGAAGCCAGAATTGAGAACTAGAGCTGGAGGTGTCCCTGTGAATACTGTGCTTCCTCGTCCTTCCATTTGACAGGTGAAGCAACTGAAGCCGGAAGGGTGATGTTGGCTGCGGTACTGTGCACAGCAGACACAGAGCCAGGACTAACTGCCGGGCTCCCCTACTCTTGCTGCCACACATCTGCCTCTCGCTTTTCTGTGAATGTATAATAATAGTACCAGCTAATAATTATCAAAAGCCCATTATTCCAGGCACCTGCTATAAGTTTTTTATGTGTATTATCTCATTTAATCCCCACAGTATCTCTGTGAAGTAAATGCCATTGTCCCTGTTTTACAGATGAGGGAACAAATAAGAGACATGCAGAGTTTCTATCTTTAGAGTGAAAAGTAGAAGTACTTACTTTTATAGCTAACTTTTGTCTTCCAGTTTTTCATCCACTTGTTTAGACGATGGTAATATTCAATAATCTTTAGAAAATACAGTTCTATCCATAATGGAAGCCTTTTTTGGTTGGATTACAGCTGGCGTTCAATTGTGATTATATATCACAGATCACTTTACCTGCCTCCTCGCTGGTGTTTGAGCTTTTAGCCTTACTCTCTTGCAGTCCTTTCATCATGCTGCAGGTTATAACAGAATCAGCTTTTAGGAATGCAAGTCAGATTATATTGCTTTCCTGCTAAGACAGCCTGAGGTCTGTGCTACTGTTGATCTCAGGAAAGGACCACATTTCCCCCGGATTGCATATACCAGAGCTTCAGTGAGCTGTATCACTGTTTCCTAATAGGAGCTCTATGCAAGACGAAATACTTTGTAGTCAGGACATAGAGTGGCTAACAGAAAGGTGAGCAAATGTTATCATTGGTTCTAGAAAAGGAATTAAAAACAGCTACTAAACAAAGTGTTTAGCACACTGTACTCTTGATAAAAGAAATACAGAATCAAACACAAATTTTAAAATACCTCTGAAAGGATACATTAAAAACCATTGCACTTGGCCAGGGGAGCTCAGTGGTAAGAGAGAGGGATACAGTAGTTCCCCCCACCCCTCCATCTGTGGTTTTATTTCCCAGTCCCTACAGTCAGCCACACTCCAGAAACAGATGATCCTCCTCCTGACATGATCAGGTGGTCAGTAGTAGTCTAACGCTCCATCACAACACCTATGTCATACCCCTCATAGCCTCATCTCATCATGAAGGCATTTTATCATTTCACATCATTACAAGAAGAAGGGTGAATAAGTACGGTACAGGATGTTAAGAGACCACAATCATAAATTTTATTACAATATTTTGTTATATAATTGTTCTATTTTATATTAGTTACTGCTGTTAATCTCTTACTGTGCCCAATTTACGAATTAAATGTTGTCATAGGTGTGTTTGCATAGGAAAAAGCCTCATATACATAGGGTTCTGTACTATCCATAGCTTCAGGCATCCACTGGGAGTCTTGGTCTGTCCCCCCACAGGTAGAGGGAGACAACTGTATACATTCTTAAACTTCTGTATCGTATTTGAATTTGGAGACAGTTACCCAAGTCCTTGAGTAACATGGATTCCAGTGTTTAAAGAAAAAACAAATGTATAAAAACTAGCTTCCTCGTTCTAGCTAAAAAGGACATCTGAATATGTGAGGTATTCAGGAGTTAAAAGATATCCGTGGTACTTCATCACATCTCTTTCCTGTCTCAGATTTTAGCATACCAAACACTTTTGCGTGTTATTCCAGCACAACCTTGTCTTCATTTTAAGATGTGGAAACCGAGGCTCAGATAAAATATGATTTGCCTAAAGGTCATGCAGCTAGTTCAATCAGTACACGCTGTCATATGTTTAGGTACATATCTATCTTCCCAAGTAGAAGCTGAGCTAGTGAAGCAAATGAGACCATAGTCCAGGCTTTGTAGGTGCCAGTAGATGATTTGCGCTCAGAAAGGGAGTCAGACAAGTGACGTCACCTTCCCCTTTCATTGTCTTGGGGAATACATGCAAAGAGATGAGTTTCGCCAAAAGTATAAAACAGGACTTCAGGAAGCTCTTGTAAAGTGGTGCTATTGCAAAGTTTACACAGAAAAAAAAATAGCTTTCCAATTTTAATTTCTGTGGAAGGAGGGTGGATTGCATACCCCATAGAACCTTGTCTCTGAGTTGTGGAATTTGGTGCTGTGACACATTCCATTTGAATTTGCTTTGTTATTCCACCTCTTTTGGAATCTTTTCACAAACTTGATTTTCTGCAGAATGCCAGTGATGAGTGAGATAATTCAACTGGAGCATGGCATATATATTTTTAAGGACTGACTAAATAGTCAGAAATAAATAACTTGCCTAGGTAAGAATTCTTAGAACTCATTTGAACAAACCTTAAGCCTATTAAGTGTACCAGAGGCAGCAATAACCCGAGGATGTATTGTATTATCAGAGGTTCTAAATCCTTCAGCATGGACACTTTCATGATTGAAGTGAAATTTAATGCCCCAAAAAAAGGACCTGTGTTATTTTTTTTAACTAATGAAGAAGACAGAAGTTACTCTAAAGAACGAAAGACAAACCCACACAAGCTGTATGGAATTTAAACACATTTTTTATTAAACAGGACTCTATATGAAACTCTTGAGAATTCTATAGTAAAGCTTAGATAAATATTTCATGAAACATCTTAAGATGCAATCATTTATAGTAATTTTAGTGCTCTGATTTCTGTTTGTTTTCAGATTTGAAAAAGCAAACATTTTCTATGATGATTTATATCTGGGAGCTGCCAGTTGAGCCCAATTTCATAAGACTTATCTTTATAGATAAATGGAATAGGATAATAAGGAACAACTCTACTTACTTTTATTTTATGTCTATCTCTTTAGACAGAAGCAGTATTGAAAGATCACTTTTTTTCCTAACTGAAATATTAACCATGGCTTTTATAAATGGCCGACCTCATTTATCCCTCTTAAGTTGAAGCTGGCTTTGGATCTGTGGGCATCATCTTCCCTCTAGCTGCCTCAGTAGACTCTCTAGCTGCTACTGCCTTAGGTTCTCGGAATAAACCAGCCCCTCTGCACTCTGCAGCCTACCGGAACCCTCACCTGAGACGTCAGAACTCTCACCAGCCCAAACTCCTGGGTTCTCCGAGCTGCTGTTAAAACTGCCCTTCATCAGTATGCTAGTTTGATGGTGTTAGCTTTTTTTAAGATACAGGTCTTGATTTGGGGTACTTTGTCTACATGAGTCTTCCACATCTCATCCTACATACTTAGCTTATATTTGCCCGAACTCCTGATGTGGATGCACCCTGACATGATGGTCCTGCATCATTTAAAGATGTATTTTCTTTATCCATTTGGACAGCTACCTGCTAAGCACCTACTTTACTGTGCATCATGGTCTGTTGAGTGCATGAGGAGTTTAACATTCACTCAATAAATAGTTACCTACCATGTGCCAGACACTCGGCTGCCACTTTGGGATGCAACAGTGAGACAGGCATGATCCTTGCCCTCATGGAGCTGTTTTAGTGGCGAGAGGAAAGCTAGTGAGTCCAAAATACAGCAAAATGATTACAGGTTATGAGAAGCGCCCTGAAGACACAAATGAGAAACGACCAAGCAGTGTCACCACAGGGAGGCAGCCTGGGCAGGGGACTTAGAGATGAGAAAAAACCAGCCGGTGGAAGAGCATTCTCTGGGGCAGGAGCAGGAGGGAATAGTGTTTGGTTAACGTTGCCTGCCGGGAGCCATAGGACATGGGGTTAGAGTGAGAATGGCCGCACTTGACCACAGAAGAAGCCACAGGGTGTGGTCAGAGGTTTGCATTTGGTTCCCAGGCTCACTGAGAAGCCTTGAGGGGTTTCATGCAGGAAAGATATGCTCTGATTTCCTTTTATATTCCTGAAAGATGATTCTGGGAGCTTTGTGAAAGCAATGCGAAAGCAAAGTGGAGGTGGGTGGTAGTTGAGTCTGAGATTGCTGTAGAGCCCTGGGTGAGAGGGGAAGAAGATGGTAGCAGGCCAGGCTTGTGCAGAAGTGGAAGTAAAGCAGAAGAGCAGCCCAGGAGACACTTCAGAAGCATGGGCAACAAGATGGGCACACACCTAGGAAGCAAGGGGAGGGAGTCGGGGGTTCCTGGCAGGAGCATCTGGGTGAGTACCGATGCCAGTGGTAGAGACGGGGAGACCCGGGCATGGTAGGTTTGTGGGAGGAAGTCAGAATTCTATTTTGGAATAGTAGAATCTGCTTCAAATCCACCCATTGTTCACAGTGTACCCGTAAGGGGTGGTACAAGTCAGGGTTCATAAGCACTCTAGGTTTCAAGGTGAATGATTGTTGCTCAGAATGGTTCCATACAGGGGAGGGCAGGGTACTGGCCTCACCTTGAGAAGAGGGGTGGATGTTTGGGTGGCCCAAGATGTGCATCCCAGAAATCGGGGGCAGGGGCTCTGAGAGGGTACCTGCAACATGTCCGACCTGGCAGGAATGGAAGGCTTGCAGTGGAAGGGGTTCCTGATTGTTTCTGTTGCTTTTTGTAGGGGCCTCATCACCAAGAGAGGCTAGGCTTGCTCTCCTCTTCTCTCTCTCTCTTCTCCTTTCTCTAGTTCAAGCCCACGATCCCCTGGGTTCCTGGAAATCTAATGGGCTTTCAGAATTAGGACTGTGGGAAGCCCAAAGTACCCCCCCCACACACACACACACACAGATCCCCGGCTGTGGGATTGAGACACCTTTAGATGTTTCTTTAGGGGAGTCTCATAGTGCCAGTTTTCTCCACATCCACCTTCCACACAATTCCATGTCCTTTTTGTCACCTGCACTTATATATTTCCATTTATTTCCCACCTAGGTTTTATGGCAGGCACACAAAGAAACCCTCAGATGTCTCAGTATGGACCTCAACAGACAGGACCATCCATGTCGCCTCATCCTTCTCCTGGAGGCCAGATGCATCCTGGAATCAGTAGCTTTCAGCAGAGTAACTCAAGTGGGACTTATGGTCCACAGATGAGCCAGTATGGACCACAAGGTAAACATTTCTCAAAAATGCATTGCAGTAGGTCATAGAAGTTTTGTTAATATGTTAGTCCTTCAAGTACTTAATATTATAACCACCTTTTAAGATTCCATTATTTGTTACCTTTAAGATTTGTGAAGTTAATGCAAACCCACAGTCCCTCAGCTGCCCATAGTGATGGGAAGAATAATTATAGTGAGTATTCATTAAGCATTAAGCGCTCATGCATCAGATACTATGATGAATGTTCTTGATATGGGTGTTACTAGTAAAGGAGTAAATAAATCTCCGTTTCTGTGATGTAGTTTGAAATTCTTGTTGAGAAATAGACACGGGTCTTGTCCTCAAAAGGTTTCTGATTTTAAAAACTTGGGTTTCCTTACGTCGAATTCTGATTGTATCCTCTGCCTCTCAGTAATTATCTTTGCAAAGGTGTACTCACCACTCAAAAGGGTGTTGTCCCATTATGTCTGCTCCCAGTTTGTCTCCAAAATTTTGTGTCCAGTGAATAGCAGTTCTCATTTTCTCAAACAGTGCCAGTCTTACTCTTCGAAAACAGAACAAAGCCTAAAATGGACACGTCTTTCAAAAAAGGAAGCTAATGGGGGCGCCTGGCTGGCTGAGTCGGTGGAGTGTGTGCTACTCTTGATCTCGGGGTTGTGAGTTCAAGCCCCATATTGGGTATAGAGATTACGTAAAAATAATATCTTAAAAAATAAAAAGGAGGGTAAGACAAGAATCGAAAAATAATGGAACCCTGCCCAAAATGCAGTGTTTATGTTCTGCCTTCCTAGAAATTGATGTATGTTTTGTCATGTACATGGAGAATCCTTTTATCAAGGTTTTTAACCTGATATATTTTTCTCTAAGTCACTCTTGGCAGTAAGGCATTTGAATTTCGCACCTTCTTTATGTTTTGTTTATTTAAATTAGACATTAATGGGTAATTTAGAGAGAATGAGATAATCTGGCGCAATTCCCAGAGTTTCCTCAAAAATATCAGGAATATTCCAAATCAAGATGATGAATGCCCACTAGGAAATTGTAGTAAAACAGCAACAAAGTCAGGTCTCCTCCTGTGAAATAAAGTGGTCTTATTTTCTGAAGACTTCTGTGTGTGTTTAGCAAACCGTTGCACTTTGTTAAGGTTCGCTTAGCATCTCCAGCCACGGAGCAGGTGCCTCACAAGGCTAGATGATCCTCTTAGAAGGCCTTGGCACCTTCTTGGCTTTTCACCTAGTGTTCCTCAGAAGAGCTTTTCTTTCTGTTTATAGGACTTAACAGTTTGAAAATGGAATTTTTAGTGTATTTGTCTTCTTTTTGAAGATCTCTTTCTGGAAGATTATAAGCACCTTCAATATTCCCACTATAATGTTTCCTTGCCTTGCATTGCTTTGTTATTTTATATCCCAACCATTTCTGTTGTTAGGAAAACTATATTAGGATGCCCAAAACAAAACTTTTTTTTTTAAGGTTTTATTTATCTATTCATGAGAGACAGAGAGGCAGAGACATAGGCAGAGGGAGAAGCAGGCTCCCTGCAGGGAGCCCGATTTGGGACTCGATCCCAGGACCCCTCAGGAACCTGAGCCAAAGGCAGATGTTCAGCCACGGAGCCACCCAGGTGCCCCTCAAAATAGAACTTTTTACTTGGCCTCATCCTGCCTTTGTCTACCATATGTGCTTGTAGTCAGATGGATATAGACTTCATGTTCTGCTTGATTCTCTTTACACCGTGTCATTGATGGTTTTCCGTGATACTGATTTCAGTATACCTTGGGAATTTGGGTCCCACCGGACAATACCAGTCTGCCCTGTTCCCCATCAGCCCCAGGAAGCTGTGACATGGAGAAGGTTGTCACTGAGCTGAGTAGGACAGTTCTGACACAGAAGAGCCTGACTGGCGACTGTGTCCACTCAGCGGGTATCTTCAAAACTGGGTTTCTTTGCCTCTTGTGAGTTTATACGTTGTGATAGACACAGAAAATGTGGTCTTAGACTCAGAAAGTAACTGGAGACCAGGTCAAAGCCTTTTGTTCTCAGAACTGGGAGTGGCTAAAGGTCTGGGACTTAACCACTGAAACTCAAAAGGGCTTCATGTAATCTTCAAAATTGGTCTGTCTTCTCTTAAGTAATTCACTCTTGCAGCCTCATCCTCTGCTGTCCTCATAATAAGGGAAGATAGAACCTTGGCTCTCTGTTGAGTCTTTTGTGAACAGCTGAGAAAATGCTTGCACTGTTAATAGCAGAAAAGGCCATTTCTATAGAATGGATTTCTTCTCTGAATAAAACCCTCGGTTTTCCAGAATAATCGAACATTAAGATTCATAATTTGAGAGCACGGAAACTGTGAGGGTTCTCATCCAAATTGCTCTGTGTCCTTGGAAAATTGCTTACTCTTTGAGAATTATTTTTCCTCTAGAAAATGAGAAAATTAGCTCACGTTACTTTGGAATTGGCTTCCAGTTCTAATGTTCTGTGAATCTAAATCTTGCTTCAACTCCAGAGCCTTTTATGTCAGTGCAGCCCACTGGATCTGCTACATAACATTTTGGTTATATAGTCAAGAAGGGATTTATTTTAAGGCATAAATACTGAGTTTAGGTTGATACTAGAAAACATTTAGGATAAGGGGGATAATTTCCATACTCAGGACTTTTTAACTTTGAAACAAGTGCCTGCACATCTGTCCTGTCTGCCTGCCGACTCTCCTTCGCCCCAGTGGCCTCTCCCAAATCCCCACTCTGAGGGGTGTATCCTCCTGGCTCCCTTTACTGGCTCCGAATGCCATGTGCTTAAAATCAGCATCCTGGTACTCTGTGTTCAACTCCAGATTGTTTGCCTTTCTTGTATTCTCCCTCAGCAAACACTAAATGACAGGAAACGAACGTTTGTGACATATATTGTTCAATTCAACAAACGTCCTTACTTTTACACTTCTCTCGTTGATCCTTTTAGACACCACACAAATGAAGTATTTTTTTCCCTCCTTAATTAACTACTCAGATTAGTAGTAAAACATTAAGCTTATATTTTCTTGTTGCATGTTTTTAACTCTGTAAAGAATCCCTTGTGTGTGACCCACAGAGGCCATTAGTCTCATCTTCCATTTCTGTTCCTAACTAGATGGCTTTCTTCTGGGTTAGTTTTGTTTTTAAGAGATCTCAGAGGAAGATATCTTACAATCTTTTTTTTAAGCCTTTTTACTGTCAGGAACGGCTTCTCCAAAATTGTTATTAGAGATAACAACCAACATTTATTACCGTATCCTGCCTGGGTCCTGTTTGAAGTGGGTTTTTTTGTTGTTGCTTTGCTTTGGTTCTTTAATAGATTTTATTTATTTACTTATTTTGAGAGGGGGAGAGGAGGAGATTGACAGCAGGGGAACGAGCAGAGGGAAAATCCCAAGCAGACTCCCCACTGAACATGGAGCCCAATGGCTCCATGGGCTCCATCTTTTGATCCTGAGGTCATGACATGTGCCGAAATCAAGAGTTGGGTGCTCAGCCAGGTGAGCCAGCCAGGCACCCCTGATGTTTTCCCATAGACCGACTCATTTAATGCTCACAACATTCTTTGTCATAGGTATCCTTGTTATTCCACTTGGCAGATGAAAAAACTGAAGCGCAAAGTAGGTAAACAGCTTCACCAGGATACACACTGATCATGCCCAGACTCAAATTTAGGCAGACTCGCCCATTTTCTTAATTAATGGGAAGCTGTGACGTAATCCCCATTTTGCAAATGGGGAGGTTAAGTAACAGACCCATGATCCCAAAGCTAGGAAGTGGCAGAGCCAGGGTTCAAACCAAGGGAGACTTGAGAAGCCATTCATATAGTCACTGGTGTGTTGTTTCCCTTGCCTCTGATATACCCTCTCCTTGCTGGTTCATTCACTCAGTGAGCCACTGGGGAAACAAAAGACAAACTACTTGCCTTCGAGGAACAAGGAACATTTTGGGAATATGGGCTTAGAAATACATCAAAGATACTAGAGATGAAAAAAAACTTTCTATGAAGTTAAGAAGGAAATTTTTAGAAATGTATATTAATACCGTGAAATCTGAATTATTAAATATGCAAATGGAATGAATCCAATCTAAATGTATGAAAATGTTTAATTGCAGTATATTTTATGAAATAGTACTTTTCTACCTTCAAGCAAGTGCATACAGTAACTCCCCTTACAAAGGGTTTGCAAGCAGGACCATAGAGACTTGCTTTAATAAATAGAGAGGAGTTATGTAATTGACATCTTAATTATTAATAGATTCAAGGGGAAGAGAGCTGAAACAAATTTCACCTTTATAGCCTTTATATTTCTTAAGAACAAAAACTGTCTTGGTTTTGTGTTCTCTGGAACACTGTCTACCACACTGACCACAAATATTTTTTGCACATTTGTCACCGATTGCAGAAAATGGGCATCTAGTCTTAACTTTCCTATAAATAAGCGGTATTATCTTGGGCAACTAAATAATTCTGAGTTTAGATTCCCCTCAGTTATCACTCACTTATATGAGAGTGTCTGGCCCACCACATATAGCCACACAGGTTATGTACTGATGTGGCCTTGGATTTATGCCTTAATTTGTATAGCATGTGCCTTTGGAAGCAGGGAACTTTTAAATAAGTTAAGTCTGATGAGACTTTTATTTCTTTTCTAAGATTTCTTTATTTTAGAGAGCACGTGCAGACACAGGTGCATGTGTGTACAAGCTTGAGGAGGACGAGCGGGGTTGGGGGGGATCTCTAGTAGACTCCATGCTGGGCATTGAGCCCACTGCGAGGCTCCACCCATGACCCTGAGATCGGGACCTGAGCCAAAACCAAGAGTTGGATGCTTAACCGACTGAGCCACCCAGGCGCCCTGAGACTTTTATTTCTAAATTACTTAATAAAAGGTATTTTTTCCAGAATTTAAAGGTTTGTTTTTTTTCTAAAATAGATGCCATCTGAAATATTCCTTCTCCCTTCATTAAAATATGTTTCTCAGTGAATTCAGGAGACTC